AAAAAATAGGCCTAACTGCTACTTCAAAAACAACTGCAACTACTACAGTGCAACAACAACAACTACTACTACTACTACTACTATTACTACTATTACTACTATTATACAGCCAAGGGAAGATAATACTTTTTTGTCTTAGGACAGGGGATAACATTCTTTATCAAAAAACAGAACAACACAAAACACCACATAAACACCACCATAGAACAAGATAAATATGAGACCAAGTATAACCATGAGTGATGCACCAACAGTACCTTTAAATCATTCTTTACAGGCAAGCCCTCTGCATTCTTGTATTCTATTAATAATTGCACACTCCCTAAGCCTATGTGCAGTTTTGATTGCACATTCCCTAAGCTACTACTACTACAACTAGAAGAGCTACCCAACCCAAAACATGCACAGTAAGTAAAATCCTCCAGCTAAAGTAGTCTTAACCAAAGCCAGCTCAAAATCTGGAGATGGGTCTATGTGTCCCACTGCTCCTGGTTGCCCCAACAGCATTGAAGGATGGGTTTAAACCATATTATAATGTTGTTACCTCATCAAAAACATACCCAGAGTTGTGTTTTATTTCAATACAATTTGAGTATTCCTGCATATTAGTGCTCTGTTCCACCTTGTGAAGTCATGCAGTGGGATTTTTCAGGTTAAAAGCTACATTTTACCTTTAGTTCGGTAGTGATGGGCAATTCCAGCGTTGGAGTTATCCATATTATTCTAGTGAAGGTGTATGGAGTTTAAAAACACAGTGGAGTACTTCCTGTGTTACCACATGACATCACAAGGTGGAACAGATTGTTTTTGGTTTGAGAGAAGAACTCAGCCTAAATATAGAGGTTTTGTGTGTTAAAAATGTGTGAATGAAACAAAACATAACTCCAGGTATGTTTTTGTTGAAGAAATAACATTACAACATAGATTAGAAGTACAACTACTACTGCTACTACCAGCAGCAGTATTTCTATTGCAACTATTCCTTCTCCTCTAGTAAATCTCCAGGTGAGCAGTGCCTATAGATGTCCTTAACAGCATCTGCCTTTACATATTCTACTTATATCTATTTTTTACATCGTGTATTTTTATTATCTAGACTTATTCAAGACAAGAAATCATTGTGAATGTGATCTGTGAGTTGCTATCTAACAAATTCACATATTGCAGTACAGTGCTGCGCTGTAGAAATTGTGCTTCAGATTATAACTTCACACTTGACTAGTCGAGTTGTGATGTGCAGGTGATTTCTCTGTCTGCACATCACTCTGTATAAATCTGAATATATTGAGGATGGATTTCTGGGGGCAGATGTGTTTTGTGTAAATATTTGAGCACTGGTTTAAGCCTTACATTTCACTATGATAATATCTGAATGAGAGGAATCATTTTGTATAGGCCTATAGCTGCTACTACTACTGCAACTGCTACTATAAGTAAAACTACAACTACAACTTCTACAACTGCAACGACTACCACAAAACCACCACTAGAACTACTACAACAATCTCTGCAACAACTAAAACTTTCACAACAACTAAAACTACTACAACTACTCTGAGGCAACTAAAACTACTACAACAACTAAAACTACTACTACAACTATTATAACCTCTGCAACAACTAAAACTACTGCAACAACTAAAACTACTGCTACAACTATTATAACCTGCAACAACTAAAACTACTACTAACTAACTACACCTCTGCAACAACTAAACTACTGCAACAACTAAAACTACTACTACAACTACTACAGCCTCTGTAACAACTAAAACTACTGCAACAACTAAAACTACTACAACTAGCTACAACTATTATAACCTCTGCAACAACTAAAACTACTGCAACAACTAAAACTACTGCTACAACTATTATAACCTGCAACAACTAAAACTACTACTACAACTACTACAGCCTCTGCAACAACTAAAACTACTGCAACAACTAAAAACTACTACTACAACTACTACAGCCTCTGTAACAACTAAAACTGCTACTACAACTATTACAACCTCTGCACTCAACTAAAAGTACTACAACTAAAACTACTACCACACGTACTACAACCTCTGTAGCAACTAAAACTACTATAACTATTACAAACTCTGCAACACCAACTACAACTACTGCTGCTACTACTACCACAACTGAAACAACAAAAACAATAAAAGCTACTATTACTATTACTAGTATATGACTACTACTATGACTGTGACTATTACTACAGTTACAGCTATAACCACAACTACAACTTCTCCTCCCTGACAGCAACTGCCCTGAACTAGTTCTATTATTCAGACTCAGGAGTTTTACTATGACAACTACCACAACAATAACTGCTAATGCAACAAAAACAACTACTTTTACAATTACAACTATGACTACAACTTCTGCAACTACTAAATTCTAACTACTACTAAAACTATTACTTTAACTACCACAACAACAACTTCTACTACTACTACTACTAGTACCACTACTACTACCACTAGAACTACAACTACTAGCATAATTAAAATATATATGCAAAAAAAATAAAAATAAAAATCATACAAATTCTTGAGATTATAATTAGACGCGTTATGATGTGCAGGTGATTCTTCTGTCGGCACCTCACTCTGTATAAATCTGAATATATTGAGAATGGATTTCTGTGGGCACCGACGTGTTTTGTGTAAATATTTCAGCGCTGGTCTGAGCCTTACATTTCACTGTGGCATCCCCTGCTCTGCGCACTCATTCATTATCACTATACTCGTGTAATCAGTCTCTACACCTCCCCCCGGACACTACCCCTCCCCTCTCCACTGCCCGCCGCTATTAAAATTAAATTGGATTTCATTTCTAAGCAGCTATTCATTCACAGCAGCCCTGTTCAGTTCTGAGCTCCTCCTTGGATTTAGGGCCTGGTGTGTAGAGTGTGCCATCACATCACTGGGCCACTAATTATGCAATGAAAGTTGTGCAGGAGAGTGGACGTTTTCACATCATGTTGTTGGGGAATTTTTAGGGTGGGTTCAGTTCTGCAGTTCTATTCCAGCTCTTACAAATGCTGCTGTGTCCTTGAACAAGACACCTGCCTTGTCTCTGTATGAATATGAATGTGTGACTGTGGTTAGTGGATAGAGGGAGAGCATGCTTTCGTTCAGTCTGCCCCAGGGCAACTGTGGCTATAGAGATAGCAAAATGTATGTCTAGTGTAGTGTTTTGAAAAATGACAGGGCATTGCATGAAACAAAATGACAACTTGAATGGTTGTAATTAGAAGTTTGTAGGGACTGACATTGTATAAATTGCATAATTTGCTCTGCAAACTACCTAATATCCTCTCTTATTATAAAAGCATAGAATTAACCAATTGACAAAAATGTTTTTTTTTGTTTTTGTTTTTTTTAAGTAAAGCTTTGAAACTTTTTTTCAGTTCAGTCAACTTCACCATGTAATGAGTTAAAGCTTTTAAGTGAATCAACCGATGATTCAATCCTTTTTTTTTCTTTTTTTTTTTTTTTTTTTACAGAACTTGTTAGTGCAGTTTCACTAAACCTTTTACTTTGTTCTCATTCACTCAGTATCATTGTAATGTCATAATGAATCATTGAATGAACTTAGAAATACAATATGTTAGTGTGAGCACCTTGGAAAATGAATGAACTACAATTATTGCAATTACTGCTACAACTTGCTTTACTTTTAAGTTAAAACACGTTTTTCAAGATCTGCGTTCTAGACTCCTATCAGCAGGTTCTCAAATGCATATGATTTTGACAGTTCATATTTCTGCTTTCTCCCAATTCAGTCTGAAAAATCTATTAACATCTGCAATAATAGTAGGAAAAATCACAATGACATACATTGTATTCAATGTAATGACAGTTACATAATCAGGGCATGATCCCCTAATTGTGGAAAATTAATAGACAAATCCCAAATCCCAGATTTAGAAGATCTCTTGCTTAGGTGATCCATATCATAAAAATAAATATAAAATGACAATCCAGTAGACATAGAATATTGTGTAAAACAGATACAAAATGTGCAACAAGCATGTGCTCTTATTGAGTTAAGTCCAATAAATCTGTACATTAAGATCCTCAGAGTCCTCAGAGACAATTAAGTCAGATACAAACACTGACTGAGAGTAATGGTGCTATTAGGCAATAAACAAGAGATTATACTGGATTAGCTCAAACAACTTTATAAAACCCCACCTGATCTATTCAGAAGGATGTCTTAGAATACACTGTGCATGTGTGAATGAAACAAAACACAACTTCAGGTATGTTTTTGATGAGGTCACAGCATTATAACATGTCATAAGAGTCAATTTTGCAGAATATAGGGCCTTTAAAGAGCCATATGGTGTGGTTTTGATAATAAACTATGACCTGGAGACTTAAGTTTCAACTATTTTAAGTTAGTACAGGGCTGTGAGCAGGGATAGGGGCTGGGTGAATACATTTTTTTTTTTAACATTTTACATTTTCTTGAGCCAAGACAATATGGTATTACTAAAACACGCATTAATCAATCCAACCAAACTTACAACTCAAACATTAAAATTATTTGTGGAAAGAAATAGACATTCCATTGCATCTTATCTTGCATTCATTTTCTCTATGTATTTGAGCAATATTTGTCATGCCTCAGTACAGATACAGAATATTGTATAAGCAGCTTTTGAGGTCAAAGTAAGCCCACTGTGTGCTGTCTGTATGTAATTAGAAAGTGTTTTACTGTGTGATATTGAGGAAGTGCACATTAGCATGCTAGTTGCTGTTAGCTTTAGTGTCACTACAAAACTCTGCTATGGTCTCTGAGAGTTGTGAAAATACTAATAAACTCATTGTGGTGAATAATACAATAATGCTCAGATAAAGTAAGTGAGGATTAATTTTGGACCACTGGAAACTGTATAAAGTTTTTAAGACTGTAAAATTCAGGTACAGTGCCTATAAGATTGTCTGTTTACATACTATTTACCTTTCCTCTCTTCTGTGCAGGTCTGGAGAAGGTTGGCCGGGACTCGATTTACGAGCAGGAGGGTAAGGTGCAGTTTGTGATGGACGCGGTGTACGCCATGGCCCATGCCCTCCACAGTATGCACCGACAGCTGTGCTCCGGAGCCCCAGGCCTGTGCCCGCGCATGGCCAACATCGATGGGAAGGAACTGCTCGCCCATATCCGCTCTGTTAACTTTAATGGTGAGAAAAAATGCTTAAGAAAAATTAATATTGTTTTTGACATTTCAAATAGAGCTGCTAACTTTGGCGGTACCTGGAGGACTAAAGAAAAGAGTGAGGAAAGAGGAGGGGTGGGGTCTCAAATTCCACCTCTGCAGCCAGGTGTTTGTCATCAGAAACACTTGGTTATAAGTGGGCACATTCCCCCAAGAGCACATACGGGCCTGGGCAACAAGAGTTAGTAGCAAAAAAAAGTTTGTGCTTAGCTCCACTTTAAACTATGTACCTTTTCTGGTCGAAGTTACAAGACCTCCTTGTTTGTATTTTGCCCAGAATGTTCCAAAATGTCCTTATGACAACACATACAAATACACAGCAGAGAGGTGTAATGCCATACTGTGGAACATTAAGGTAAACCAATAACAACTAGAAAAGCACTCAGAGAGCGCAGACCTCCACCAAGGACTACCCCCATTTTTTATATAAATTGCGATAAAATCAGTCTTCTGGATCAGATCCAGATCAGCCTTTGGAATATGAAAGAGGATCCCATTGTCCATCCCTGAGTCAAATTTCATGGGGTTTGGTCAATAATTAACCGAGATATTGAGAAACAAACTTTTTGGCCCCATTTACCACAATGTTAACTAAAATTTCAAAGTGATCCAGAATCCAGGATTTCTTCCGGATCACCCCCAAAATTAAACCACTTCTTCCTTTTCACATTCCCAACAAATCCTGAAAATTTCATCAAAATCGGTTCATAACTTTTTGAGTTATGTTGCTAACAGACAAACAAACAAACAAACAGACAAACGCCGGCAAAAACATAACCTCCTTGGCGGAGGTAATAACTCCATGGTGACAACTCTCCCATCAGATAACTTACATAGTGCTCTTTTAAAGTGAGGTAGTCCAAACTTTAGTGTGCTGTGTAATTGATATAGCACTTATTTTAATAGCACTGCAATTAGATTGAAATAGCATAACAGTGTAGCTTCAACTAATATCATATCTTTAATGAAATTATGTACGATCAAAAACATTTACAACTAATTTTATGGTTTAATGGTCATATTTTTATATAGCACTTTTCCACCTTCAAGGCACTTAAAACTTCAAGGAACCACTCACCCATTCACACACTCATACACCAGTGTATGCAGATACTGAGGGAAAGGTGGGTTAAGTACCTTGCCCAAGGACACAACGACAACATCTGTGACAGCTGGAATCACACCGACTAACCTGTGGGTCAGGTGATCTGACCACTCTACCAATTATGTTTTTACGTCGAGAGCAGGTTTTGAACCAATAGAACAGATCAGTGGGCAAACGCTCTACCTAAATATGCAGTATTTTGTGTGTGACACATTTGTGAATGAAACAAAACACAACTCATCACATTCACTCTTGTTGATGAGGAAACAACATTATAACACATATCTATATCTATATCTATATATATATGTGTGTGTGTGTGTGTGTGTGTGTGTATATTAGCATAATATGGGTCCTTTAATGCCAGTGTGTGGATTATTCCAGGGAAAGCAATAATATTTCCATGGAGACAAGCACTGTTTACTTAACCAGGTTTACAGTGTAGATGAAGTGTTGATCTATTGCTGGTATATACTAGCCAGGTTGGCGTCACCTAGTGCCTCCACTCAATTTCATTTCTCTCCAACGACTTGGTCGAGATCGAGGATTTAAAGCTGGAATAAAGAGAATGTTTGGTGAATTGTATCAAGGGGAAAGACATTATTGCCCTTCTTCCTATGGGATTTGAGAAAAACTTAATATACCAGTTAGCCCCATTAGCAGTGCATTACATATGTCACGACCAAATAGCTGCGATAGGTTAAATAAAAAAAGTACCCGCATACCGTTGAGCGAACGAATTCTAATGCTGCGAGGTCAGACAGTTTCCACGAAGTGAAACCGGTTGATGAATCAGGCTAGGTATATACTTCACGTGAACAGCATATTATTCAAATATTTCCTTCTTCACTGTTTAATGGGGTACAGAGTTCAAAAGTCACATTCATTTGGTTGGGTTTGGTTACATTTAAAAAGTGTGGGTGGATTTGCTATTGAACTAAATTCCACTAATCATGCCCCGCAAATTCTCACCCCAATGCCTTTTGAAGCAGCACATTCAAAGTATGTATGCTTCTTTCACTTGTATTAACCTTGGGTCAAAGTTATGCTGTGCTAAAATTTTACATGAACTTATCTGAAAAGCTGCGATGAAGCCGACTTCTCCTCTTGCTGTGTCTCACCACTGATTTGCTCTGCCAAGGCCGACCTCTCATTCACCAGACTCTGATAAAATGCCATTAATTTCAACAGTAAAACATGGCTCTACATTCCGATCCAACCCTGAAAACTCAATTTGACTTTTCATTTCCAAGGTAAACCTGTTCATCTTTGCTGCAATAATGAAGTTGAAACCGTGAATGCACCACATTGCAAAACAGCCTCAAGAAAAGACGTGAATGCAGAGAACCAGGTGAATTCAAGTGCTGAGCTGCAGGTTGGATATTTAAAGAAGACATATTATGATTTTTCTTTAAGCGGTCCTATTATGTAAGATTGATTTTTTTAGATCTTTTCTTTGGATGTGCAGCTATCCAGCAGAAGTGCTGACAACTGCTCAGCTCTTTGTTGTGATGATGTTTATGGTGACGTCAGCTCTTGCTGATACTTTGCAGCTGATGTCATCAAAACTGTAGGCTCTGCTCTGTCTGAGGCGTTATTGGACTTTATTCTAAGAATTATTTTAACCCAATCTGACTACATAAACAGAATTAGCTGGAAACTACATCAGGTGAGCTGATTTGTGCACTTCTGTCACACATAAAATTATCAGTCATAAGCCACCAGTTTTTTAGTTAGTCACTCTCACCTTTTTGTTGAAAATCAAACTCCTAAACAGGGCCATGAATGCTTGTATTGATCACAGACTCCAGAAGATGTGTGTTTAAATCCATTTTGAATTTTTCTTGAGTTTTCAGACCATATTCAGACTCTTTGTCTGTGTTTGCTAATGTGTGCATTGTGTCACCATGGTAAATCCTAAACATTCCCCCCACAGCATGATGTTCCTGCAAAGTATCAGTAAGGCACCCCGGTTTTCTAACGCAGTATGTGGACTTGTTTTAGCTGAATATTACTGAAATTTTTAAAAAGCAGACACAAGGACTCTTCTATTTGGTGTTACAATATGATAATCTGTAACATATATAGAGTGTTATTTTACATTTTGTTCACTGTAACATTGATATAAAACAGCTTAATAAAAGAAGCAAGTTCATTGATTTCCTTTTCAAACTGCAGAATGGATAGGCCCTGCTCCTTCATAGTGGCATTGTTCCATAGCAAGCAGCACTTGTGTTTACTGACTACAAGATATTTTTGCGCCCAGTATGTATGACTCGGTCTGAATCTTTTGAAAAGTTATCATCAAGTACAGAGCAGTGGGCAGGGATAGGGGGTGGGTGAAAACAGGATTTATTTACATTTTTCATTACAGTATTACTCAAACTTGCCAAGTCAGTTCAAACAGAACTTTGAGGATAACTTAAGGATAAGAGAAGACAGTTATAACATGATTGAAGACTCATAAAAATCACTGTTTTCAAAATATGTCTCCTTGAAGCAAATAGCTGACAGCTGCCTATAAAACGGAACATAATTTGTCATAGAATTCATATTTTTTACAATTTCAAACTTTTCCTCACATGTAATTATTTTGGTCCATATAAGGGTTTTATAATTGCTTGAGCACAGATGGAGGTGAGAATGTGTCAATGGCGTGTTTAAAATGAGCTTTGATCAGTTTGAGAGCAGACAGGGTTATTATGGGCTGTCGTAGTAACTTCAGCAGCAGACATCTGTGCTGTGGTCCGGGCACGTGAACCATGTGTGATCTGCATTTCATTCAGTTATGCACCAACACACGCTGCATTCATATCAGCTTCACTGTAATTAAGTGAGTAGTTAGAGACTGGCTACTACACTATGGCATAAACAAACGTACATGCAATTTGAAGTATTTTTTGTGAGTAATTAAGCAAACTATACTATTCCACTTTTGATCTGACTCTGCTTTTTACTCATAAATGATAAATAATTTCACCTTTCGTTCATTCGTGCTGACAGAGAAGGCACTGAACTTTTTGTCTCATGTGGATAGGCTCGGTTGTTGCAGAGATATTAACTATAAATGAGTCAACAAATCTGTTCCAAAAACAGAATATCTCTAAGTTTCAATTCCATCCACGGAGACAATTTACAAAAAGGAAGCAATTTTTCTGACAGATTAAACATTGATTTAACAAAAAAGTTGCCATCCTTTTTCATTCTTTTCATTTTGTGTAATCACGACCAAGAACTGGAATTGAATTTACGTATGTCATATCTGTTGCCATTGTCCAACCAGGAAGTAAAATTATAAACTTCAACAAAAGAAAAAAGAAAAGAAAAAAAAAATAGGCAAGATTTTTAGTAAAAATCTTAAATATTCTTTCTGAAATTACTGGTCTAATCAGTCGTTTTCACGTTAACCAAAACCAAGGCTACCGTCATATCAACTGGTCCTTGACTGCTTGTTGTTTTTTTACTTCAGTGTCCGTCTGCTTCTCTATGAAGTGTGTTGAACTGTCATACATCACATATCCATAAATCAAACCCAGTCCCGCTGCGCCCACTTCTGCTTCACTTCCTCAAACATGGGTCGCAGAGGTTACCCATAATGCCGTGCTCCGAGTGCGGCGGCCGGGGGGCTAATTGCTAACTCAGCCGTGTGCTCCTCCTCGCTCCTGAGCTTATTTTTAGTGAAGCGTCAGGAGGCCATTTGCTAATGCTAACTGTGCTACATTTACTCCGTACTATAGCAGCAAAACATTAACGCTGGTGAGGAACATTAATGGCTGTTGGAAAGACACTTGTTCGGGACAGCTGCAGTCAAGTGGCGGTAAAAGAGGATTGTTGCATATGAAGTTAAGGCCTCATCAGAT